CTATAGTTTCACCTTTTCCAGAATTTCACATAGTTGGAATCCTATGGTACATAGCTTTTTCACTGACTTCTTCAATTAGCGATATTAATTTAAGGTTTCTCCATTTTTTCATGGTAGATAGCTCATTTCTTTTTATTGTTTAATAATACTCCATTGTATGCCATACAACAGTTTGGTTATTCATTTAAAAAACATCTTAGTTGTTTCCCATATTTTGACAATTATGAATAAAGCTGCTATAAACATTTGTGTGCAGGTTTTTGTGTGGACATTAGCTTTCAACTTATTGGAGCAAATACCTAATGAGTGAATTCAGTATTTAGATTAGAATCTAGATGGAGATCTTACACCTTTCACAAAAATTAACTCAAAATGGATCATAGACCTAAATGTAAAACATGGACTTGTGCAACTTACAGAAAATAACATAGGAGAAAATCTAGGTGACCTTGAGTTTGATGATGACTTTTTAGATGCAGCACAAAAACACAATTCATGACAGAAAAATTGATAAATTGAACTTCTTTAAAATTTAAACATACACTCTATGAAGGATTGTTACAAGAATGAAAAGATAAGCTAAAGAGAAAATTCTTGCAAAAGACATATCCAATAAAGGACTTAGATCCAAAATATAAAAAGAACCCTTAAAACTCAACAATAAGAAAACAAAAATCCAATTACAAAATAGGAAAAAATCTGAACAGACACCTCACCAAAGAAGAAATACAGATAGTAAATAAGCATATGAAAAGATGCTCAATATTGTATGTCATTAGGGAATTGCAAATTAAAAGTGAGATATCACTACACACCCATTAGAATAGCTAAAATCCAAAACGCTGACAACATCAAATGTTGGCAAGAATGTGGAGCACCAGGAACTTTCATTCATTGCTGGTTGGGATGCAAATGCCACTTTGGAAGACAGTCTGGCAGTTTCTCATATAGGTAAACATAAGCTTACCATGTGATCCAACAATTCAATCATAGTTATTTACCCAAGTGAATTTTGATATTTTAACCAGCCTTGCAAGATTCTGTCTCAGGAAACTCCTTCAGTTTGGTCTTCCTTGCATTTAATGTCCTCAAGACATCAGTTCAGCTGTGTGTCTTGGCATCCTTTTATCTGATTATGCTTGGATGTGGTTTCAGATGGTTTATTTTAGCCTTGACTTGGCAACTTTTTAGGATGTTACTTTTGGCACATGCCCATCAAATCTACATTTCATAAACAAAGACAATATTCACTATACCCAGCCAGGCCCTCTGGACTTGCCCTAAGGTGCCTGATGCCCCTTATCTTTGTCCATCTGGGGAATGGTTATCTTAATCAGTAATTATTAGAAACCTTTGCAATCTTGAGACTTAGTTCAAGTACCGCCTTCTGTAAAGCCTTTATTTTCAAGTCTAGGAAATATTTATTGCCTAAACTTCCTCAATTTTACTCATTTCCTAATTCACTGAAATTGCTTTTACGAAGGTAACAGATAAACATTAATTGCCAACTGTAATGGCTAATTTTTAGTCTTAATCTTGTTTGACTCCTTTATAGCATATAAACTAGTAACTGTCCCCTTCTTGAAACTCTCCCTCTTTGGTTTCTTTAATTTTTTAAATTTTGAAATGAAACATACATGCAGAAAAGTACAGAAATCTTATGTATAAATTTTAAGTATTATTGAAGCAAAAACTTGTATGAAGAAACAGAACATTTCTAACACCCCAGAAGCTCCTCATGTCCCTCTCCTCAGTCACAGGTTCTATTCACCTTTATGCCAGAGGTAACAAGTATTCTGACTTTTGTACTGATCTTTTCCTGTGTATGTATCTCTGAGCAATGTATTTTAGTTCTTCTATTTTTAAAGCTTTATAAAAGAAATTCTATTATATATATATACTTTTGCTCAATAGTATGTTTGTGAGATTCATCTATATTGTTATACATATCTCTGGTTTGTTCATTCTTGTTGTATATATCCCATTGTGTGAATATCTCCTTATACATTTTGTTAATGGATTTTAGGGTTGTTTCCAGCACTTTGTCTTTATAAGCAGTGCAGCTGTAGAGATTCTTATACATGTCTCTTATATTTTTATACATCTTCATGCAATTCTCTAGGATTCAAGGAAATTGCTGGGTTATAAAGAATGCTATTTTCAATTTCAATAAAGAATGCTATATTGTTTCAAGGTAGTTTTTTATAATACTACTGGTACTATACCAGAAACTGGTCTGTACCACATCAAGACATAGAATTGTCAACCATTTCAATTTTTGCCAAGATGGTGGGAGTATAGAGATATCTCATTATGGTTTGAACTTCTGTTTCCCTGAGAACTAGTGGAGTTGAGTACCTTTTCCTACATTTATTTGCAATTTGTATTTTCTTTTTTATTAAATGCCTATTTAAATTTTTGTCTATGTTCCCATTGGGTTTTTATCTTTTTCTTAGGATTTGTAGGATTTCTTTGTATATCTTGTTTATTAGTCCTTTATTAGTTATTTGTGTTAGAAATATATTTTTATGCCTTGTGGCCCCCAACTCTTATAATGAAGAGAAGTACCTGACTTAAATGTAATAAAACTTATTAATCATTTCTTTTATGGTTAGTGTTCTTTAAGAAATTGTTTCCTAACTTGGCATTAAGAAGACAGTTTCCCGAGACAATAGAGATAAAAAGCAGGTGTCTAATCTCCCATATTTAATTGGAAGGCAGCTATGCTCACCACTATACCACCAACGCTCCCATATTTAATTGGAAGTCTGTGACTTCACTATTTTTTTTTTTTTTTTACTTTTAAGCATTTAATTTCTTTTTCTTTCTCTTAAATGTTAGTTTTACACAAGGGTCCATCTGAATTCTCTTTCTTGCTCTGCACATTCCTCCTGATTAATAACCTTCAACATATTAGAAAATAACAATGTAGTGATGGTCCAAGTAATTTGAAATTACTAACATTTAAGATGCCAAAATTTGTGAATTATTTTAAGTATACAACTTTGTAGTATATCTTGATATTTCATAAGGTAAATTCTCTCTCCTTGAACTTCAAGAAGTTATTGGTTATTTTTCTTTTAGTTTTTCCTTATAGATTTTAGATTATTTGTTCTAGTTATATTGAAATAATAATGTCAGAAATTTGTGATTGTGTTGAATGCATAGGTTAATGTATGTTTGTTTTGGGGTTCACATCTTCTCTTCCTTTATAATGATATGTTTGTTCAGGGAAGGGATACCTAGGACAATACCTCACACTTGTGAGTCCCACTTTTTACATAAGTTGGGGAGGGCTGAAACCTGCTGACTTATAAAAATAAAATAATTTCTTGTTTATATTTGTATTCTTGATACCTAGCACAATACCACTCAATAAAATGTTTGTTATTTCAGTAAACATTTGTTAGGCATCTGCTGTATGCCAGGTACTGTGTCAGGAGCTAAAGATACAAATTGACTAACATAATGTCCTTCTCAGGGAAGATTTGTAAGAATACTTTAAGGTAAATAATTACAATCAAGAGTTATTAAGTACTAGAGGAAGTACTTAAGGAAGAAAGTGGTCAACTGTGTTTAGAGTGAGAGGATATGGAAAATTTTATAGGTGGCACAATCCTTGAACTGAGACCTGAAAGGTGAGTAGGTATTCACCAGATAGTTAAGAAAGACAAAGACATTTCCTACAGTTGGAAGAATAAGAAGAGTATTAAGTGAAAACAGAGACTTGAGAACATCTGGCTAAAGGGATTAAGGGGCTCACGCTGGCTTATAGTATGTGAGGCAGAGTATATTTAGAAGCCTGGCCAGATATATAGGCAGAGGTCAGATATTATTTGGCTTTAAAGAGTATTAAAAACTTTACCATATAGGAATCAGAGAACAATTAATGAGTTTAAAGCAGGGGAGTAATGTAGTCACACTTGCAGTTTTAGGGAAAAAAAAAAAAGCCATCAGCATTCAGGATGGATAAAAGGTGGGACAAGAGTGTGGTTAAGAAAGAAAAAAAATCCGGAAGGAGAATGTTCTTATAATAGTCCTGGTAGGAAATGATCAGAATCCAACTAAGACAGTAGCACTAGGGATACTGAAGAGGGAATGGATTCTAGAGATATAAAGGAGAACCTGGTGATAAATTAGATGGCCTTCTGGATTGATGGCACACTTACTAAGATAGATGATAATGGCTGGTACTTGGGAGACAGAGAAAATGATGAGTTCCATGGACGTGTTGAATTTGACATGCCCGTGGGAAGGATATGCAAGTAATATGTCTAATAGGTGGGTGGATATATAGGCCTGCAGTCCAAGAAAGCAATCTGTCATTAAGTTTTAGGTCTCAGAGCCCTTAATAAATATGTATTAGCTGAAATCGTAAGGTCAAAGATAGAGCCTGGGGATCTTCAACCTTGAATAGGTAAATAGAAGAAGAACCAGCAAAGGAAACTAAGATGAACAAAACAAAGGAGAAGAAAGACTACCAAGAGAAAGTGGTCATAAAGAAGGGAGTGGTCAATTGTATCAAGTGCCGCAGATAGAAATAATAGAACCAAAAAAATTCCATGGATTTGGCATTACTATGGACATTGGTGAAATCTGTTTTATGGGATAGTGATTGTTTCACATACTTAACTGTGAAGGGAGGGGAACTGGTAGTATAACACTGTTGAGGGTAAGGAGAAAACAGAATAAATTTTCTTAATGAGAAGAGTATAATTATAACTATGAGGAATAGACACAGAGAGATTAAGACAATAATTTAATGGTGATTATAAGATATATAACCAAATAATTAGTATTGTAAATGTTTGTGATAGATCTGTGGTATATTTCAATAGGTCTAAGTGCCAAAATACATGCCAAGTTGCAAGCTTTACATACCATAAACACTCAAAAATGGTTTGCTGGATTGAATTGAATTGAGTTCCATTGATATGTAAATCATCATCTGTGCTTTGGAATAATTCAGAGTTTAATTTATGCATTTGCATCTGATGAAGGTCATCGGACACTATTTATTGGAGTTCATGTGCCCCTGGGAGGAAGAAAAAGTCATCGACGTCACAGGCATCGTGGTCATAAACACAGAAAGAGAGACAGAGAGAGAGATTCAGGATTAGAGGATGGGAGGGAGTCACCTTCCTTTGGTAAGAATCTTTCTTCTTGTTTTTTATTAAATTTACAATGGTAATAATATTATACTTGCTTAAATCCATAATTAGCAGTCATACCTCATACTCATAAAATTGTTTATACTTTATAAGAGACGTTGGTTGGTCCGATGGGGGAGAAGTGAGAGAGAAAAACCTTGTTTATTTTTCTTGAGTTGTGCTTTATGAAGGTGAGAATTGGCTTAGATTTGTGATTGAGGAAATACACATAAATTGTAAAACTTAGTTGTATAAACTATTGATAATATATACAAATAATAGTCATTTCTCTAAAACCCTGGCGGGGGGGAATGCCTTTATTAAGTTCCCACATACTATTGCTGATGCTGGCCAAATTTCCCTCTTAGGATGTGGACATTCTACTATTTTGAATGTTCTTCCTCTGGAAGTAGATACAGAATATCAAAATATAGTGATATGGTAGTTGTTAACAATTTATGAGTGCTATGAAAGCCTGTGTCCATGACATAACCAAGAACCTGGCTTTCAGTTTCTTGACACTCCCATCTCCTATGACCCTTTCCTTCATTGCACCTAGCTCACCTACTCCTCCATAATTACTCTGTCTCTGAGGTAAATGCATTAGCTTTGCTTTCTGACCACGCATCTCTCCTGCTTGCCTGCCTGTGCAAATGCGTGACCTCTCTACTTCTTTCTGTTCATGCTAGTATCTTTCTTTCATTGTTTTCTTAGCCTACTCTGATTTCATAGCCTATAATTTTAGCAATACTTCTGCTAATATTCTAAATATCATAGGGTCCCTGTTTTAATTTTATTCATACCTTTACTCCCACTTAACCATACTTATGTTGGGGTCCCTCTGTGTTCCTACTTTTTCTATGTGGCCCCAATCAATCATTCAACAGGGCAGGTTGTAACTATTTAAATTCATGATATAATTGACCTTTCAACAGCACCTACTGAGTTCTACTACATTTCTTTGATCTTTAAATTAACTGTTTTTCAAGCTTTTTCATCATTCTCCACCATCCCTTTTTTCACCGTCATTTAGCAGATGCTTTCTACTTTGCAGGGAAAGTAGCTCATCAGAATGAACTCATTCAACTTCTCTCCTATTAAACATACCTATGTGCCTACATCTGCAACTTTCTCTTGATGCAATAAGGGAGTTTTTCTTTTCAATTATGTTTATTTCCTGTTCCCTCCAGTTTGGAAATGCACACAATTTATAATCTAGTTGGCTTCTTCCTCTCAACTGGATTATTCTCACCATCTCTTAAACATGATTCTCTGTCATTTTGAACAGTCCCTGACCTCCCACAAACCCACAGTGCCCCTTTAGTCATTCCCATATATTCAGATATGAAGTTAGTGGCATAGCAAGTTTGGGGTAACAATTTTACTTTTAATATTCTGTATATATTGCTTTATTCAATATCTGTTTTCAGTAAGTGTTGCAGAGAAGTCTGTAGTCCCTATTTTTTTTTTTTTCATTTTTAAGGTTATATCTTTTAAGCCTGAAAGCTTAAAGACATTTTTCTGGATCCCTTTAATTAAGAAAATTGCTAAGACAGGCCTACTGGTGGGTGTCTTAAAAAGCCTTTCCAATGTGCATACACTGATATTTTTCTGCTTCAGCACATTTTCCTGTTTTATCTGATTCTGTTCCACTTACTTTGTTATCTTCTTTGTGAATATTAATTATCTGCATGTTGGATTAGTGATATCTGTTCTTTGTCTTTTTCCTTTGTAGTTTAAGGTTAGTTTCTCATATTATCCATTTGATTCTCTGCAATGTCAGTTCTGCATTTTACTATTTCTATTATTAGTTTTGATTTTTTGGTTGCATTTTTAGTTTTCTTAAAGTTCTTTCTTATCTCATACTATTTTCTTTATATCTCTTCCTGTCCTTTCCTAATTAGTTTTTCTTGTTCTGCTTGATAGAGTTTCTGTTTTTATAGCCTATTGATGATTCCCAGCTATTTCTGGGCATTTCCTTTCATTCCTGAAGTAGATAATTTTCAGAGGTATGATCTTCCTTTGGGCCACTGAGATTATTTTGATTCTCCATTGATTTGTAGTATTTGTACAGTTTCCCAATTATTTTTCATAGAGAGGCACTGCCATCAGTATGCTCCTTGTTTCAATCACTGTGTACAGGTAGGGCATTAAGCCTCCTCAAATACCATGTACTTCAGCCAGAGGTAGAATGACTATTGTCAGGACTGTGTAAAGAAAATACTCTTGTGTATCTTCCCCTTCGTGATACAAGGATGGTCATCTCTGTGTCAGTGGACAGAGAGTGGAGGTGTAAAAGTGTCCTCGATATTTTCAGGGTTTTTTTTTTTTCATGAGGTGGAGTCTGGGAATGTAATAAAGAGACAATTAGGGCGCCTGGGTGGCTCAGTCGTTAAGCGTCTGCCTTCGGCTCAGGTCATGATCC